TATAAATACAAAAACCTACTTACTTTAAAAACAAAATATTCTAACTTCCACTTGAAACAAACTAATTTGTAGATTATCGACTGTGAGAAATATACAGGAAATATTGAGATCCATTGTAATACTCAGAGTTATTGAACCCTATGAATATATAATCATTTAGTGTATTTAAATCAAACAGCTAATATAAAAGTTTTTTCAAATGACCTCTATAAATGGTTGAACTAACCAGAAAAAGAATTAACCTAACAACTAACGACATGAAAAATGTTTAAATTGTCTTACTGAGAGCATATCAGTATAAAATACTTCAAAGACCATTAAACGTAATATCAAAAAAAAAAAGGATACTACAGATAGATTGATTAATACAGATCTTTTAATCAGAATTCATCTATGTATCACATTAAATATATTGCACAATTATGGCATTTTCTCACAATTCTATTGAAACAAAATCGTAATCACTACAGTCGTCCTCTCATACAATCACACAATTGGGCATATAGTAATTTTTTTCAAAAAGTGCTTATAAAGAAGTGTGCTTATATGGAGGTCCTTTTTTTTATAAATTAAATTATAGTTTGCCCTAAACATAAATGTGATTACATATGGTGATTGTGACTATATGGAGGATGACTGTATAAGAAAAAAAATGCAATGAGTTACAAAAATAAGCAGTATAGTTACTAATAGCATAAATGATAAAAAAAAAATGAAGATTTTGCTTAGTTCATTTGAGTGCATCTGTAACTTAATAGTATCGATAATAGCGATAATTTTAATAGCAATAATCTTATAGTAGCGAAGGTATTGGTTGCATAATCGGAATTTTTGCTTTTATTTGTGATGTTCAGGATTATGCAAACTCGGCACATCTCGATGCTTTCAACGGAATGAACATGTTAGGGCAGCTAGTAAAAATTGAAGAAAGCCTCCGTTTATATTAGTTTTACATATTGCATGTATCATATTTTTTATCAGAACTTAGAATACTTACATTGCATAAAGTCAATATAATCAAATCATGAATAGTTGGATAATCTAATAAAGCTCAGTTACAGTTTTTTGTAATTTCAATTTCTATAAATAATTAGTTAGAATAGTAAGCTATATTCGCAGTTATATTAAGAACCCCAAAGATACTTATAATCATATGCAGTAATTTAAAATGAAAAAGCAATAATAATTATTAATAAGCAATTGTTGCATTTGTTGAATTCAAGATTGATTATACAATTAAGAGCCTAATTCAAAATAAGTTACATATCAAAGGTTTTCAATTTTTAAATGCAGTTCTTGCTTCATTTTTAGGGCTGTTGTATTGATAGTACATTAATGATGCATTAGAAAAATGCCAGCTTTATTTTTAAGGTCCCGTGCCAAACACTGATACCTATAGATGCGAAAGTGCCAGGCAATTTAAGCCGGGACCTTTATGCATACAGGCACAAAGTGCCCAACTCGTATCCAGCACTTTCATGCCTGCACCACAAAAATGCCTAACAGTTTTAAGCCAAGTCTTTGTGTCTGTGCCTTTTGTTGGGCATTGACATGTGCCAGGGTTGCAAACCTTATTGATTCTGTACATAATTGAATATTCTATAAAAAGTTATACAGAATTCACAGAATACTAAGTCGGTATCCTAAGGCGCATCATTAACAGTCTAAAATATGCTAATCATAAAAAATTAGTATTGTTCTTCATGAAATAATATGTAGCGATTATCGTTTGCCTAATTGGTATATGATGAAAAGCAAATATTAAAATGATGTATATAAAAATTGTAAAATGATAGAAAGCAAATATTAAAATGATGTATAAGAAGTATAAAAGGCCTCACGATTAGATCCAAACGAAAAATTAATCTTCTATGTAATAAAGATAATAATACCCATCCTTTGAGCTATTTCATCATCTCAAATTATAAATCGTTTTAATTAGTATAATTAAAGCAATAATTATTGAAATATATACATTAGATCCTGCATCCCACTATTTTCTGAAGTTTAAGACTCTTGTTTAATATATCTATGATGGAAGATGTTGATTTACAATCCTTTTTGTTAGTTCAGTCATTCGATGAATCATATGCCAACCGATCTGAAAGCTCCATATTAGAAAACACATGTACAAGCGAAGAAAGCAATAATGAATTACCTGAAAAACCAGTGCATAAAAAAAAAAAACTAGATTATAGAGGTGGATCGAAAAAACAAAGCTAGGTGTGAAAATATTTTGAATCAGAAAAAGTAATTGAAATTAAAAAAGAATCTGATGATATTAAAATTGAGGTTACATATGGCATTTGTCTTGTATTAAATGATTCAGAAAAAAATTGTAATACACGATTGAGGATAATAGGTGGATCAACCTCAAATTTAATATCTCATTTAACAAACACCCATGGTATTATGCAAGGCAGACCTATAAGATGTATAAATTAATTTTTTACATAGCAATTACAATTAACTCTCTAAACCAAACCTAGATAAAATAAACATCTAAACTGAACTTTAGAATTTAAATGAATCTCTTTTAGTATAGGTGATCCTATTAATATAATATATTAATTAATTGACTTTAGAATAGGTTCGTCTATACTAATGAGATCCTGAATCTTTTTTCATTTTTTTAATAAGCCTCAAGGGTTTGGTATAGAGAGAATTGACTATATTGGTTTTTGTTAAAACTATTTAATAATAAATTTTTTCTTATCTAGCCTGCTCAAACCAAAATTGATCTTTTTGCAAGATCCGGTTCTTATCCATATACTAAAGTGAAGAATGATAAGCTGACCAAAGCTCTTGTTAAGTTTATTATCCAGGACACACAACCAATTAGTCTTGCAGTAAGTCCTAACTTCCGTGAGTTCATAAAGGAATTAGATCCAAGGTTCAGTTTACCTGATGAAAAACGAGTAAAGCAAATAATTCATACATTATATAATAAATCTTTCAAGATTATGTGAAAAAAGCTCAAGGATTCTATAACATATTGTTCACTAACCACCGATTTGTAGACGTCTCGTAATAGACAGAAGTATCTTGGAGTTACCTGCTCATAGCTAGATTCTGATTTCAAAATCCACGAAGTATTACTTTCTCTTACATATGTCAGATACCCTCACACTGCCAATGTTATCCAAGAAAACTTAGAAGAAGTAATTGAAAACTGGGGTCTCACCGGAAAGGTATATTCAATTACAACTGACAATGGGGCTAATATGAAAGCGGCAATTAATAAAATGAGTAATATAGTAAGAATCCCATATTCAGCCCATACATTACAGCTTGTTGTTGGAAAGGGTTTGATGCCTGTTGAAGTACTCGTGGCACGTGCCAAGTGATTAATTAATTTTTTCATGGCACCAAAGCAAAATGAACAATTCGAAGATGCTCAAAAAACACTAAGGATCTCAGATAATGATGTAAAGTTTGATTTTTTAATAAAATAATTAAAATACATGCCACTTAAACAACAACCAATTCATTAATAATTATTATGCTAACATAGGGTTATCAATAGAAATATTTCAGATTATAATAAAACATTCAACCACTCTCAAACTGTAGTGGTTTATATGTTTTATTGTAGCTTGAAATATTTTATTGATAACCCTGAAAAGACGTTTCATAGTTTCTATATTTTATATCATCAGCTATTCAATAACTAAAATACTTTTATTATAGATAATTACTAAAACTTCAACATACCTTCGTGCAAAAATAGATGTGTCCACTTGTTGGAATTCATCTTTTCTCGCTTGGGAACGACTTCTACTTATTAAAGATGCCATCGACATTGTCTTAGCAACATTAAGCATTTCAAGTGCATCTGAAGCAAGAAAAGACACAAGAAGGTTAAAAGAAATATAATTAACTGATAATGAGTGGGATTTGATGCGAGATATTGTTAATATTTTGGGTCCCTTTTTTGAAGTTACAGAATTACTCGGTGGTTCTGAATATGTTACATTTTCCTATATGATCCCCTCTATTTTAGGATTGATGTATAAGTTGGATTGCTCTACAGACTATTTAGATGAATCGAATAACATAAATTTTGAAATGCCTAACCTAGTATTCGACAATAATGTTGGATTTGTTGATGCACAGGAAGAGGAAGAAGGTGGTTCTAAAGGAAGAAAAATTAAAATCAATACACCTATTGATGTTACTAATATACAGCACAAAATTAAGAATGCATTATATAATGCACTCTTACACTATTGGAATTTTTCAGATGAAGAATTATTCCTTGCATACCTTCTGGATCCAAGGTTTAAAAAATTAAGATTTGCAACATCAACTCAACAACTCCAAGTGAAAGCTGCCCTTCGAGAAAAATATAATAATATTAAATCACTTCAATCTTTACTAACCCTAACAAACCAGCCTTTAGATTTTAACGAACAACTTTCAGCTGAAAATAATCAGAGGAAACGCCAAATCTATCAAAAAACATTCATCAAATCACTTTTTATACAAAATACTATTGATGAACCAATTGATGAAATTAGTTATTATCTTTCTTTACCTGAAATTTCCTACAATCATAATCCTTTTCACTGGTAGAATACTCAAAAGACTTCCTTTCCTCTTTTAAGTGAGCTTGCAAGACAGTATCTTGCGATACCCACGACCTTAACTCCGAGTGAGCAACTTTTCAGCGATGCAAACAATATAATGACTGTTAGAAGAACGATGCTAAAACCAAAATTATTTGAACGGATGTTATTTTTAAAACGAAACTGTAATGAACTAAATAATGCTTATGATT